AATGAATTACGAAAGAGATGGCAATGTAGGGGGTGGGGAAAGTGGGATAAAAAAGCATTTGTTCTGCCTTCCCACATCCAACATGCCATGTGAATGTTTATTTAGTATTATTATCTAACAACAAGCATCCTGTCATGTAAAATATCCCATTTGCTAAGTAGTTTGAAACTTCAGAGATGTAAAGCTTGGTGGTAGACTTCAAATCGTGAAACTTACTACTTATATCTTTACACCAACAAAACAAGTTACAATCATGCTGGGAGATTACTTCTTCAGACATTATTAGTATCTTAACTAGGTCATCCGAAAATGTGAGATACTTCAGAGAGTCTTAACTGTCATGCAGACATTGCTATAGTGTATGATCACACATACAATGTCTAAAAGTTTTTCTGGAATTGTTATAAGTTTTACATTCAATCTCTTTGTGAATATGAAAATGGTAAAGAGAAGCATTGCACTTTTAACATGATATAATTATCCCCCTATTTTTTAAAGACTAGCGGGGATTTTTCTATATCCTTAACATGGGTAGTCTATTAAGTAAATCTAGTAATTGATATGAACAGGATAAGTAATTTTACATAGTGAATCAAGCACTCTTTCTCCTTTTGAATAAAAGGGAAAATGGTGAAAAAAACAATATAACACATTCCTCCTATAATACATCATCCTCAAACCAAGCTGCTTGATTATTAAAGAAAAAAGTGTAATAGATTACTGTGTCTAGGAATACAGCCCATACATGACGGCTCCATATCAGTCTGCTTCAACTGGAAGCATAATGAGTATATATTACAGTGTCTTGAAAGCTGAACCTTGACTAGTTAAGAAATCTCTAATTTGTTAGATTGGTTTCTGATTTCCCTCTTATACTCAACTGACACCAAAAAAGGGGGGAAATGAAATCTACTGTTTTTTCTAAGATCAATTTAACCTAGTATGTGACAACATATGCATCAGTCATATTTGCATGGTTATTTCATGTAGTTATGACAGGGAGGCAGAGTTATGGAGCCCTACAAACTTTAATTTTGCATCTCATTTGAGGTTAATTTAAAAGAAAATTACCTGAGTTTGTATACTCTGTTCTGGAATAATTACAATATCCTAATGTGGAATCTAAACATCCAAGGAGTCAGGGCTTAGCCAGGAACATGGGGCTTGAATTCCCACGTTCACTTTTTTATTTTTTTAGAACTAAACATTTTAGTTACTTAAAAAACCCAGATTTTCCTCTACCCAGGAATTCTGAAAATTCTACTTTTTGTTCTGAAATTTCCTGCAGAATAGAAAGTCTGACTTTCAACTAGTTCTGCTTTCCACCTTAACTCCATTTTAACACATTCTGTCTCCATATTTTCCTTATCTGATTTCCGATTATATTTCCAATGTAATACATCCTCCCTACTTCTTTTTTGAAGCAGTAATTTCATCGGTGACACATAGGTTAAAACATATTTAAAGTCACAGGTAAAAATCAGACTGTTGACTCAGAAATAGAAGGAGATCATCTGGCCAAATCATCATTAAATCAATATGCAGCTGACCATCTGTGTTAGGAAGGGACCTGAGTTGTAAATATCAGGGCTGACAGGTGCTTTAGCAGTGTTATTCATGGAAGCTCATTTATCTGATCTATGTGTTTTACAATACTAGGTAAATTCCATTTCCCCTGTTCATAATCATTGTGTACCTTTACTCTAGGTTCCATGTGTTTCAACCCAGTTATCTCTCTGAGAGGTGCCTCCATTTCAGATACCAGCTTTTGTCCCTCTGAGATCTGTTTCCGTAGAGCATTATAATCCTCAATCAAGCCAAGGATATGGCGTCCATTTTTGTCTGCCCACATACGATGACCGGGAACAAGACGAGGGGTGCATGATGTGCCAGTGGAGGAGCTGCTACTGCACCGCGAAGAGCTGTCTAAATCGTCTCTAGATACTAATTGTGTTTCTAAAGTGGAAAAAAAAAGTTAAACTTAATTTTTAAAGCCTGATCCTTTCAAAACATGAAAGTAATTTATGCCGGTTTGTACACAGGAATTTCTGGGGTGTGTATGTGCTTTTTTTTTGTAAATGTGGACTGCAATTTTTTCAAATATAAACTAATTCAAACAGTGTGCATAAGAGAGGGTTAATGAAAAATTTGAGTGGTAAAATGATTCTGTTACAACAGACTAAAAATGTAAGCAGTGATAAAGGTTTTATAGAAATTACTTTCTGGGGTCATGGAAGGCAACACAGCTGCCGTGGCCCCCCTGCTCCCTGCTGATGCTCTACCTGCTTGGAGAGGCCAGCGCTAGGTGAGTGTGGGTGGTGCTTCTGGTCAGCGGGGCCAGGCCCAGGCTGCTCTTCGTGGTTGGGGGACGCTGTTTCCCCAGCCCTGCCATGCTGCCACCAGTCTCGCCCACACATCTCCCTAACACAGTGGTTCTCAAACTTCTTGGCCTGTGGCCCACCTGGCTCAATGCAAACCTTTCTGTGGACCACCATTAGCTGATGGAAACTTGCTGTTAATTACATAACAACGTCCAAGCCATTTTGCTAGTGCTGCAGCTAGGGAGAACAGTTTAATTTAACCAGTAAAAAAGGAAATATTAATTAAAATTATTAAACAGACTAAGTGCTTTACCTTTCACATGTTAGTTTATCTAACTTTATTTTATATAAAGTAAAATATTAATTTATATCCAATTCAAAAGGTCCCCATGTCTTTTATTTATGGCAGGGGTGGAGAACCTTTTTTGGTATCTGGGGCCTTTGACCCACAGAAAAATCAGTTGGGGACCACAGAAGTGAGAAACAGGAAAAAAAAAAACCTCCAAGATCACCAACCCTCACTGATGTGGCCCCTGAGACACTTCACTCCTCTGGTGCTCCAGCCCCATTGGGGGAGGGAGAGGAAACGGGAGGACTGATGTTCAGGGCTTCCCATAGGCCAGAATTACTTTTCTGGGATACCAGGATTAGTGGATTTTGTGCCCCCCCCCCCCTCCAGGCTCTGGGGTTGGAACAAAAATGGAGGGGAGGGGGGAAGGAAGTGAGGAAGGATGCAGGGGCAGGCTGTGTCTGGGTAGTGGGGATGGTACAAGAGCAAAGGAAGGTGCAGGAGCCAGGCTCGGGATCGGGGGTCTGGCTAGGGGATAAATTAAATTAATGAAGATTGCCTATCTCCTAGAACTGGAAGGGACTTTGAAAGGTCATCCAGTCCAGTCCCCTGCCTTCACAGCAGAACCAAGTACCATCCCTGACAATTTTTTGCCCCAAATCCCTAAATGGCTTCCACAAGGATTGAACTCACAACCCTGGGTTTAGCAGGCCCATGCTCAAACCACTGAGCAGGAGCAGGATAGAAGTGAGGGGGCTGAGGATAGATGTACCATGTTCACAGTTTAATTCATATACATTACTGCCTGTAGCAGAGAATTTATGACCAACATTTATACGCTCAAAAAAGAAAGAGTGCATCAGTAAGGCTGTGTCTAAACTACATCCCTTTTTTGGTAAAGGGATGTAAATTAGGTATGTCGATATTGCAAATGAAGCTGGGATTTAAATATCCCACGCTTCATTTGCATAATGGCGGCTGCTGCTTTTTTCAAAATGGGGCTTTTTTGCAAAAACAAAAAAAACAACCAACCCCCCCCCCACACACACACCAACAACAGAAACTGGCAGTTTAGACAGGAATCTTTCGAAAATAAACCCATCTAACTGCTGGTTCCCCCCCCCCCCCTTCAAAAAATCCC